GCAACTGACACGGGAAACGGCGCACTCAGCATCTTCCAGGTGTCACGGATGGTAGGGGAAGCCACCTTGGATGCCGTGATATTTATAACATCGTGAATTAGGACAAATCAGGTGAGCTCAGGTTCCCTGTTCCCCATCGGGCAGAAGTGAAGGTGGGTCAGTCTGTCACCTAATAAACTCCTAAGCTCCCAAAGGGGAAAGAAATAGAAACTGGCATTTATTAATGGGCCTTGGGGTTGCCCTGCGGGCCTTGGGGTGAGGGACACGAAGGAGTATCAGAGAAGGAAAGAAGAAACTGCAGAGGCTGTCAGTACCAGGAGCGGACATGAACTTGGCTGCACCATCTGATGGCCGGGGGCCGGGCCTGCGAACGCCCTGCCCTGGGAGACGGACAACGACGAGGCCCCTCAGGGAGGGCCGCTCGCCGTGCAGTCGGACCCCAGGCCCTGCTCTGCGCTCAGAGCTGCGGAGGCCGCTAACCTTGGAGGTATGGCTGGTCACGATCTCGGCGGCCACCCAGTTGCTGACGTCGTCTGCACTTCTTAGAAGCTGCAACAGGTACTTGTCCTGGACGTAGTTGGGCAGGAACAGGCTGCAGGTTTTGGCCGACAGAGACTCAGAGGAGCTGGCTCTGGAAGAGACACGGTGCGCGTCACGGCAAGGCAGGCGCTGGGACCTGGGCTGGGCCAGGCTGGGCTGTGTGCGGAGGGTCTGGCTCAGAGGCCATTCCTGAGACCAGCATCTCTTGACAAGAGTGTCCGCGAGACGCTTCGGTCAAGCTGCTGAGACCCTCCCGCCAACATCCACCCCAGGCCTCCGGTGGGCAGCTGCGGGTGGACACTCACTTCGGGATGGCGGCACTTTTGTCCATGACGCCCAGGGCCCGTGAGTTTAGGAAGTGGACGGGATGGCACCTCTGAAACAAGTCCTGCGGAGACAAGGACACAGGCGGTCAGGGCCCCTTTCCTGGGGACCTCAAGGCAGCGTCCTGGGGGCTGTGTGTGGAGGGGGGTCACTCTGCATTGCCTGCCCTGTGTGCTGTAGGGCTGGGCCCCTGCCCGGTTGTGATCGCGCTGGGTCGCTGTCACTGCTGTCACCTGTCGAGTGACATGGGGTACCAGGATGGTGAGGGGCCGGGCCCAGGGGGAGCAAAGGGCCTGGAGGTGCCTGAACTCCTTGGGTCCTGGGGCAGATCCAGGAGAGAGGAGGTGATATCCAAGGTGGTACCTAAGGTGGTACCCATGGCAGTCCAAAGGGCACCCTCTGGTGCTTGAGAGGGGGGAGTGTCGGGGGCACAGGAGGGTGGGCAGCAGGCCCTGTGTGCCTTGTGTGCCCAGAGCCAGAGTCCCTCCTGGGTCCCTTTTAGGGGCACCCCCCTGGCCTGTGCACCTGTTAGCCAGGCTTCTTTCACTGCGTGTCAGTGTGCCCCTGCAGCAGACATCTGTGGGGCCCGTGAGACCCTGCCGATGCCCGACCGGTGAGCCTCGTGGGACCTGCCTGCATCCAGCTGCTGGCCCCTCACCTGCTGCAGCAGCGTCAGCTGGGTGAAGAGCTGGTGGGTGCTGTACTCAGTCAGGAAGTAGGGCCCCTTCTCGCTGGTCTTGGCATAGGGGCCGCAGAAGTCCTCGAAGAAGCAGGGCTTGGGCAGGGCAGACGCGATGGTGTACTGGCGCTCCTTGTGTGGCAGTGCCAGCCCGTTGCCCCGGGGCAGCCTCCAGGGGAAGCTCTGCAGGTGGGCACAGGGGTGGGAGAGGACCCAGGCCCAGGACCCTTCAGCCTGGCTCAGCTAGAGCCAGAGCACACATCCCTCCCGCCTGCGGCCGTGTGGGCTCAAGCCCCCCTTTCCTGGTTAATTCAGCGGGTTTCCCATAGATAGAGCCACTGAAGTTTGGGGCTGTTCCCACACACTATGGAAAGGATCCCTCAGTCCCCGTGCTTGTCCCAGGGCAGGAATGACAATGCCTCCTTCCACCTGGATCTCTGGTCCAAGGACAGGAAGTGAGGTCATCTTAGTGCCCGGCCTGGCCCCTCTGCTGTCCTTGCCCAGGATGAGAGGGGACAGGAAGTGCCAGCCCCACAGGGCTGGTCCCAGGACTGGCAGCACGAAGTATGTGTGCATATGTGCCCATGTGCACAGGTATGCATATGGGCATGTGTATGTGTGCACGTCTGTGTGGGGTGCACAAGCACACTGGGAGCAGCACCTGTCCCGGGAGGCCTGCCCCTGGGAAAGACCCCCACCTTGCGGGAGATGCTGTCTTCTGAGAGCCTCTTACAGAGGGCGTTGAGGGATCTGGTAGCCTCCTCGGTCTCTTTGGGGACCTCCAGGTCTGTGCTGTGTGGGGCGCCCTCAGTCCGCCGGTCTGTGCCCACCTCCAGGAGGCCCAGCAGGTGCTCCACGGAGCTGTCCAGGGGCAGGATCTGGACAGAAGCAGAGGGGTCAAGGCTGTGTCCTGGGCGGGTGCTGGCTGCCACTCCCGAGTGCTGCCCGGTGGTCACCTGGGAGGAGATGAAGTCCTCCAGCCGCCCCAGCAGCCCGGCGTTCCTGGTGAAGTCCACGGTGTAGCAGTCTTCCACCCAGGCCTGCAGCAGGCAGAGGCTGCGCTTGTAGATCTTGGTGAAGGTCGAGGTGGGGTCCTCATGGGCCCTGGAGGCAGATGGCCAGACAAGGGTGGGGGGTGTGGAGTCTGGATGCAGCTCTGTCTTCAAGGGGGTGTTTTAGCCCCTACCCTGCCCATCTGGGGACAGGAGAGAGGCAGCAGCCGCCACATAACAGGGACCCAGGGCTCAGGTCACAGGGCAAGACCTGGCCCTCCTGCCACCCCCAGAGCCAGTGCCCGGGACACCAGGGGGCAGGAAGCCACGGGAGAGCGCTCGCTTCCCAACAGGCAGGTGGGAGCCTGGCTCCACGTGTGGAGGGAATGGGTTGGGGGGGTGTCTCCTGTGAGCCCCTCTCCCACAAGGATGGCTGAGACTGCCAGGGCTTCCAGCCTGGTGAGGGCGCACAGGGGTGTGGGGAGAGGGCTCCCAGCCAGCTCAGAGAACAGCCAGCGTGCATCTGCCCACCACCCAGCACCCCACCCCTCGGCTGTGGGTGAGCTGCAGGACCCTCCCCACTTGGGGGTTGCCTGGTCTTCCCACTTGTCCCTGTCCCCACCCTCTGCCTTCCCCCATCATCGCCCTCCAATGGCCTCTCCAGGCAAGGCCACCGTCCCCTCCTGCCCATGCTGGCTCCCTTCTCTGCGGCAGTGACCCCCTGGCGTCCTCCATCCTCCCCTTCCTGGTCGGGGTCAGCAGACGAGGGGCCTGGCGTCCACCCTGCGGTGTGCGGCCCATGGCGGGTGTACCTGGACAGGGTGCTGCTGATGCGGTCGAGGAGGAAGTGCAGGAAGTCCTGGGGTGTGCAGAAGTAGCGGAAGGTGTACAGGAACTGCTGCACGTAGCCCTCCAGGAAGGCGTCGCTGTGCAGAGGGGCCTGTCAGACCCGGCCAGGGCCTCCCGCTGCCCCTCACCTGTGCTTCAGGTGAGCGGGACGCCCGCTTCCACCCACAGCCTCGGCTAGTGGTTCTGGGGTAAATGTGTGTGTGAGCGAGTGTGCGTATGGCTGTGTGTGAGTGTGAATGTAAGGGTGATGTGAGTGTGAGCTCTGTGTGTGAGTGGCCATCACTTTTTAAGGCCCACCTATTAGTCTCCTTCTAGAACCTATTCACACACTGAGCACACACAGTCACCGCCCCAGGTGGACATCCCTGCGTTAGGAAAGAGCAAGCTGTGCCCCAGAGCTCTGCGTCATTATGGTGAAACCAGGCCGGGGAGTGTACGAGGGCCCCCACCCGCAGGGGTGCCCCAGAAAGCCTCAGTGGGCTGGGAACACGGAAGGCTCAGGCCAGGGACTAGGCAGCCACCAGCCCACTTTGTCCTGCAAAGAGGGGTCCCACTCATGGGTCTCCAAAAGCCACGCCTGGGTTAAGAGCCTGCCGAGAGGGCCGTTCCCGGGGGCCCGGTGGAACTGCAGGGCCCACGCAGGACACAGGTGCATCTATGGCCCAGGTGGGCAGAGGGGTGGAGGGGCACTGGGGGTGACATGTGACATGTGTGAGTGGGCGGAGGTTCCTCCTGCAGGGCGAGCTTATGGACCAAGCAGTTCCCGCCCACAGGTGGCAGCTGCACACATACCCCAATGAGCCTCTGAGCCCAGCCCCACCGCAGTCCCTGGGGAGCCAGGCGGTCAGCTAAGGGGTGTTTTGACTTAGTAAAGTGGATGGGATTCAGGTGTGTCTCCGAGGAGCCTGTGTGCGTTTAACCTGAGAAGCCTGCTGGGCAGCTAATCACACACTTTCCCCCAAAGCGCCTGCTGGGGCCCCCAAGACCCAGACCCAGACCCAGACCTGCTGCCGGGCGGGCCTGTGGCTCTGAGACCACTCAAGCCCGGACCCCAACAAAGGAGCACGTGGCCGCGACCACAGGTCAGCAAGCCCAGGTGAGATTCATTCTAAGTGAAAGTCGTGCAAACCCGTCTCCGATGAGGGGAGGCCAGACTTCCCCCATCTCCTCCCCCTCCGACCGGCTCGTTCCTGTTTTTTGCTTCCCTTCTCCTCTCCAAGGCCCGACAGGTGACGGGGAAACCATGCCCCCCTCTCCCCCGGCCGGGGCACGGGGCTGCACCTGGAGTAGAGGTAGGCCATGAGCCCCAGCGGCGTGCCGGCCTGCAGGACGCGGGCCTTGCGCTGCCGGCCACCCCGCGGGTGCTTGCTGACGTTGTAGAAGATGAGGGACGAGGACTCGTCCAGGGGGCTGAAGTCCAGCGTGTCGCAGGGGGCCGAGGAGATGTTCACGATCACGGGCAGGGCACAGGGCTCCAGGCCCCACCGCTCCGCGTGCACGACCTGAGGGGAGAGCGCGTTAGTGTGGTCTGGCGGAGCTGTGCCGCCAGGCGTGTGCTGGAGGGACACTGGTCCCCGGGCCCCCTGCCACTGACCCCAGGCGGCGGCACCGTGTATGGCCCCTCAAAAGTCAGGGTTTGTTCCTACGGTGGGTTTCCCAGGTGGTCACTGCGGAACACCCACGCGAGAGGGGGTGCAGCATGCAGGGCAACTCGCCTGTAGGTACTTCTTGACCAGCCCGAGGAACTGCACCTTGGACTTCATTTCTTCCAGCTGCCCCTTTAGTTTGGACAGCATCGTCTTCACCTCGGAGCCTGGGGGCCCGGCAGAGTCAGCACCCGGCGGCCCTGGCCCCGGGGGGCCCCCGTGCGACCCTGAGCACCGATGACCCTACCTTTACTCCGCTTCTCCTTCTGTAAGAGTTTCTGGTAGAACTTAAGGGTCTTCCGGTAGGTTCTCTTCTCTATCATGAGCTGCTGCTCCAGCTCCTGGGGAGGAAAGAGCTGCTGGGCCCAGGGCTGGGCCGTGCGGCCTTAGCCCCCGTGGGACTCACATTTCAGCTGGCCCCACACAAAAGGCAAGCGTGGAAAACATGCTCTGGCCCACGGCAGGTGCACTCACTGTGCGGGGGGGTGGGGGTGAGGGGGGCAGACACTGCCATGTGGGTCCTGACAAATGGACAGCACACGTGGGCCCTCAGTGCCCCACTCACCCAGCGCCCCGGCCTGTTACCCTCTCGCTCTGTTTTGGGGCAGCGAATGTGAAATGTGTCCACTAGCGGTTTTATACTTTCGTGCTTTCCTGAGGCTCCTGTTTTGAAGCCGACACAGTGGGTTCTCGAGGAGAAATGTGAAAAGGTGGCTACGGGCAGGTCTCCCCAATCCGTTACCCATGATGCAGAGGGCCCAGGAAGCTCACCTGCCTGCATTCAGGTTCCAAGAGAGACGTCTTCCCAGGTGAGCAGGAAAAAGGGAGGAACGAGGTCACTGCTGGCCACCTGCCCCACAGCCTTTCCCCAGACCACCTCCCCTCCTGCAGCCCGTCCCCACAGGGGCCGCCCGCAGAGCGACGGCAGGGCCCCGCGGGCTCCCAGGGGCTTGTCCAAGATGGCGATTCAGAGGCGGGAGGCCCAGGGGTCCCAGCCATAGGCTCACAACCCAGTGAAAATGGATGCTGCCCCAGCAGAATCTTTCATCTGAGCTGGCCTCAGTTCACTTTCTTTTTTTAAAAAAAATTTTGAGTTAATCTTCACCTGAGGATATATTTTCATTGATTTTTAGAGAGAGGGAGGGGGAGAGACAGAGAGAAACATCGCTTGGTTGCCTCCCACATGCCGGGGAGCAAGCCTGCAATGGTGGTACATGCCCTTGACCCGGAATTGAACCTGGGACCCTTCAGTCCGTGGGCCAGTGCTCTACCCACTGAGCCACGTTGGCTAGGGCCTTTTCCTCAGTTTTTAACTGGGGGGTCTGTTTTGTTGCTGAGTTTAGGAATTGTTAGGATATTCTGTATTACATTCTTATCAGGTAGATGACTTGCAAAGTTTCCGCCATCTGTGGAGCCTTTTCACTCTGTTGTAGTCATTCGATGCACAAAAGCTTTAGTTTTAATGAAGTCAGTTTATTTTTTTCTTTTGTTGCTTGTGCTTTTGGTATCATATCCAAGAAATCATGGCCCAATCCAGGTTGTGGGAGCTTCCCCCTATATTTCCTTCTAAGACAGTGGTTCTCAACCTTCCTCATGCTGCGACCCTTTAATACAGTTCCTCATGTAGTGGTGACCCCCAATTTCACTGTTACAAATTGAACATAATTAAAGCATTGTGATTAATCACAAAAACAATATGTAATTATATATGTGTTTTCCGATGGTCTTAGGCGACCTCTGTGAAAGGGTCGTTCGACCCCCAAAGGGGTCGCGGCCCACAGGTTGAGAACCGCTGCTCTAAGAGTTTTATAGTTTTAGCTCTTAGGTTAAGGTCTCTGCTTCTTTAGCTAATTCCTGTCTACAGCATGAGGTCAGGTCCAGCTTCACCCTTTTGCCAGGGACACTGTTTCCCAGCACCACTCGTTGACGACCGTCCTTTCACCGTTGGGTGCTCTTGGCCGCCTTGTCGGAGCCATTTGACTGCAGAGGTGAGATCATTTCTGGGCTCTCTGTTCTGTCCCACGGTCCCTGTCTGTCCCCACGCCAGCACCACACTGAGTTGGTTACAGCAGCCTTGCAGTGAACGTTGAAATCGGAAGTGTGAGTCCTCCAGCTTTGTTCTTTTCCATGGTTGTTTTGGTCATTCAGGGTCCCTTGAGATTCATAAGAATTCTGGGATGGGTTTTCCTCTTTCTGTAAAGAACATCACTGGGCCATCTCTTCGTTTTAACTCAGCCGCCTAGATCCATGCCAGGACCGAGGCAGGCCGGTCCCTTTCTGGCTGGGACTTAGTAATAAGCGAGCTCAGAAGTGGCAGGAGGAGGACAAGAAACACGGGCAAAGCTTAGACGGCGCTGAAGAACTGGGACACACTTTCCTGTGACTTGTGGCTTGGAGACCAGAAGTGACTGGGGCTGAGGACCACTGATGGGTTCCCTCCTGTCCACCACCCTGGGCACCATGGCAGCCCAGGCCAGGTGGACTGCCGGGGCCCAGGCTGAGCTGACCGCCACGGCAGGTGTTTCCCAAAGGGATGCTGCCCAGGGGACAAGAGCCTGGAGGGCCGATCGGCCGAGGGAGCTACACCTGCTGCAGCCAGAGCGCTGACCCGGCTCACCAGGACCAGGTGACCTCCTGCCAGCGGTAACCTGGTGGCCAGGTGCTCCGCTAACAAGGACACAAAAGCCATTTCCTCTAACAAAATGTGGAGGACGCGTGAAGATGAGCATGGGAGGGCGCAGTGCTCCAGCTGGCGTGGGGTCACAGGGGGTGAGTGGGGCGCTGGGAGTGGTCACCTGAGAGAAGAACTCTTGCTTGGACTCAGCCCCCCGCTCCCCCAACCTGGGTGTGGATGGAGGCCCCGCACTCACCGGGCTTGAGGTGTCGGGGGCCCCACCGGCCTTCTGCCCCTCCAGCTCCTTCACGTAGTTGTGGACGTCGGTGCCAAAGCAGTCGGCCTCGTAGAAGGCGCTGCTCCAGCCGGGGCTGCAGCTCTGGAACTCGGCCACGCCCG